CTCCTCCTCTTAGGCATGTGCCTGGCTCCAGTCTCCCTGCTGGGCACTACTTAGAACCCTCCGGAAGCACTGCCCACCAGGAAATCCACTAGACCAGAAAAATTAAGGTGGTTCTGGTTTCAAAGAGATCAAGCAGATAGCTCAAGACAATCTTCTTATTTTTTTCCACCTAAGGCTCACAGCTACACATCTAACTGTTCAGACAGACTGAATACTGCCAATTCCAACTGAACTCAATTATGTGTCCCTTACTTATTGATTTAGTTGGTTGAAAGACTTGGAAAATCTGTGATTTCCTAGGGAAACTGAAAAAAAAAAAAACATAATCTATACTGATATGGTGGTGAGTTTCCATGCGCTTAGAGTTTAAATGAGATATAAATTAGAATCCAAGAGCATTTGTTTGTGTTTTATGGACTGGCTTAAAGGTTGTCTATCAAGTAAGGGTCTTTTTCATTTCATTGTTATACAGTTTGTGTCCAATGTGCACTCGTCAAATATCGGATACCATTCATATACTCGGTAGTGGTGTTCGTTTTGGTTTATACTGAATTTAATTGACTGGCGTTGGGACATTCTCAACATGAGAGATTGTACTTGTATTAAAATGTTTATTCACTTCAAAAAGAGGCTCGTGCCCTCAAGGGCAGGGTGTGCCCGTTCTCCCCGGGGCCACAGTGCCTTGGACACCAGTAGGTGCCTGCTAGGTTTGGATGTGGTTCATTTCTCAAGGGTTCATGTGCTGCTGGCTTGGTCTCCAGGGTGGTGGCTTAGAGATGGGGAAACCTTTAATAAGAGGGGGGGCCTAACGGGCATGGTCAAGACACTATGGGGCCTGGCCTGCCCTCAGGAAGGAATTAATGCCAGTCTGGCCAAATTCTTGAGAGAATTGTTACACCAAGAGCCAGCCCGGCCCCTCCCTCCTGTCCAGCTTCCTGTCTCGAGATGCCATTTCTTCTGCATGAGCGCCCACTGTGATGGCGTCTCCCGGGAGGCTCTTGCTAGCGCCAAGCAGAAGCTGGCGCCATGTTCTCCAACCTCTAAAACTGTGAGCTCCCCAAACCTCTTTTCTTTAAAAGCACCCAGCCTCAGGTGTCTAATTATAGCAATGGAGAATGCACTAACACAGCGCCCCCCACATGTTGACAATTGGAATGTGTTCTCACCGGTCTGCAGAGGGTGGTAGAGGTGAATGGGATAAGAAAGGAGGGGAGAGAGAGCAGGTGGCAGGGAAAAGAGAGAGGAGTGTGGGGGAGGGGGAGAAGGAGGAATGGATCTGGATTTAAAACTGTGGCTTGACTCCGGGAGGATACAGACTAAACAACAGTAAAGTTGAATTATCACTTGATCTTAGCCAAAAGGCCGAGAAGTGATGAAAGTTGAATTATCAAAAACTTCTTTCACCGGCTTCGTAAGAGGATATCAGCCTTTTTGAATGGATGCATTGACGAATCTGTCATGGTTTTCAAACGTATAGAGAAAACCTATTTCCATGGTTATCAGTGTCTTGGTTTGGCTCTACCCTAAACTCCTTTTCCCCTTTAGGACTCAATGGGGGAGGCAGTGCACTGCCCGTCCAGGACCAGAGTTATGGTGGCAACTGGGCGGCTCAAGCCAAAGACATGCTGTCAATGATTCTTTGTGGTAAAGAGGGGAAGTTCAATGGGATACTCTCCAGTACCAAAAAAGCACAGCTATATTTAAACACTTTTTTTTAACAAAAGAAGCAAGTCCAAGGTACCCTACAAATTACTACATATTAAATTGTGCCTTTTCTAGAAACCACAGCAAGCCAATTCTTTCCATCTCTCTCTCCCTCCAACTTCCCACCACCGCCCAAAATGAAATGCATGCAGGGTAGTACAGGATAACCTTCGACCCTCCTAGGGAAATTCACAAGCAAAGACTAGCCAGGAGTGGGGGAGGGGATCACCACAGCCTCCCTGCAACAAGGATCCCCCATCGCCGCGGCCAGCGTGCTGCGGCTAGCGTACCATGCTGATCCGATGGCAGGAGCCAAGGATATTTATTCCCCTGTGGAGTTTCTCAGAATTCTGCATCAGTTACTGCCCAGGAGGTCTGAGACAAAAATCCCAGTGTTTCAGCAAAGAAGAGACAGGCAAAGAATTCCTAAAGCCCTGAGGATTTCAGGTCCGGTGCGGCATTGGGCAGTTCCCTGGGGGACTTGCTCCTGGGCAGGGGACTGGAAATTTGTATCTAAGCAGCAGCACAGGCGGTGCTGTCCCTGGAGTCGCAGGGAGTTGTCGACGGTGCAGTCATTAGACTGTCATGCCGGTCCTCCAACACCAGGGCTGAAGGGATGGCTGCCTGCCTTTGGGCGGGATCTTCAGGGCCTCGTGGGGTTAAAAAGAAAAAAACAAGTCAGTGGCTTTCCCTTCCCTGTAAGCAGCCTTGTGCTTCTTCCTTCCAGAAACCACAGGAGGCACCCTCTGGGCCGCCTCATTCAGAAAAGCAAGGGAAGGCTTTTGCACTCCGTGGGCCTGGCGCCTGAACTCCAGTTCTCTCCTGTCTTTCTCCCACCTGGGACATGACCTGCGCTGCATCCACACTCAGTGATTCTGCTGATGGAGCAACAAGCCTGGCAGAAGCTTCTAGAAGTTCGGGCACTACTTTTTGCTGTTGACAGAGGCCTGTGGGATAGACCGGGAGAGGCCTGGGAAGGGGGCTCTTCAGTGATGTCTCCGGGGGTGACTTCTGGTCCCTGCCACATGGTGGCTTCTCCACGTGCCCTGGACACTTCTGCGGGAGAGGCCAGGCTGGTCCTGCACACACACACTCGCTGCCCTGGCTTATGATACCTCCTCAGTGGGCATCCTGTTCAGAGCCATTACTGTTATTCTGGGCCTGTTCTAGGCAGACTATGAGATCATGTGCAAACCTTACTTGGGAAATCAATGGGTTGTTTAAAGAGAAATGTTCCCCCACGTCCCTCACCCGCAAAGCGACAGGTGCAAATCAGAATCTCTAACCAACTCAGTTCTTTTCTTCTACACCACCTTATAACGATGTGTCTTGCTTGCCTTGCCCCTTGTCTAAACACATCAAAAATGCTGAAAGTTCTTTTTTTTTTTTTTTTTTGAGAAACACATCTTGTTTACTTATCTGTAGATCCTACCGAATTTAAGATCCTGCACATACTCACTTCTTCCTTTTGCTACATGGAGAATTACAGAACAGAGATGCTGTGGGGAAGGGGGGGGGGGTGGTCTCTGCAAATAAACAAGGCCAAACCCAGGAATCTGGAAGTTTGAAGACATCTGGCATCAGCTTAACGAAAGACATGCATGGACACACAGATGTCAGGACAAAGGATAGATACGGCATCAGAAAACAGTGGCATAGTCCACTTGGGTGCTGAGTTTCCAAGAGGTTTCAAGGAACGACTGCCACTCCAGCAGGCACTGTAGCACAGCAGTGTAGCTCTGGGCAAGCCTCAGAAAGGCCACAGGCAACCAGGAACATGCGCAAGTCTGGGCGCTTCACCGAGTATGCCAAGTTCCTGCAGGACACGATCTGGGAGGTGTGTGGCTTTGTCCCATAGGACAGCGGAGCTGTGGAGCTGCTCCAAGGCCTCCAAGGACAAACGGGCCCTCAAGGAAAGGGTGGGGACATACATCTGGGCCAAGCAAAAGCTGGGCAAGCCAAGCAGTGTCCCCGCCACCATGAAGCAGCAGCCGCCAACAAAGTCCTCTCCACTTGCATGATAAATTCCTCAAGTCCCTTGGGAAAAAGAGTTGGGAGAATGGAATGGGAGGATGAAGGGAGATTCTGGGTAGCAGTGGCTCTCCAACGTCAGCATCAGAATTCGCCGGAGGGCGCCAATCACAGAGGGCTGCTGCTCCTCGCTTCTCCACTGCCCACCCTTAGAAGTTTCTGATTCAGCTGGCCTGGGGTGGGGCCTGCAAATTTCTGTTCCTATCGAGTTCCTGGATGATGCTTATGTCCCTGGGCTGGAGACCCCGCTTTTCGAAAACCACTGCCTTAAGGAAATAAAGGCCTCCTCCCCACGTGCCTGGGTGCAGGAGCTTCGTCCTGTGATCCTCACTGATGCCTCTGGCATTCACTTCTTAAGCCCTGGAGAAGTGGAGCAACGTGACCACGCGACAACTGGATCCAGATTGAACTGACCCTTCTGCCGTCTTGAGTTTTCCATTTACCAATTAATGAGCCCAACAACCTCATGATCACCTGCAGCCCCTCTGTGAAAAAGCCCGAGGTAGGAGGTAGGCCACAGGAGGTGGATCAAATCCATTTCTCATTGAACTCTCTCTTGGCAACAGTGGCAACTGTGGCTCTTCCCTTGTCCTGTATGCAACGCCCTTCCCCTCGGACAAACCAGCTCCCCCGTTTCTCAGGTTGTGAGCCAATATTTCCCTAACCTAGGAATTCCCATGCAATTCAAGGATGGAGGTTTAATCAGCATCTCGGGGCAGACGGAGCACACAAAGCCAGGTTCTCTCTGAACTTCTCTCCCTTTCTCCACTCAAGAAGTGACAGCCCTCGCATGGAACCAAAGGGGGCCACCCTTTGGATTACTGGTTAGGTGAACTCAAATTTATCAGAAAAAAAATGTCTAATTTTCCAGCATGCTGGCTCAGAGGCAAGGAAGCTTCTTCGGGGATTAAGCAATTCCCAAATAAGAAGTCCACCGACTGAAACCAAATTTTATCTCTGATTCAGCCGCAGCTGTGGCTGCCACACTCTGGAAAAAGATTTTTATGGGGACAGGCAAACATCCCTGAAAAATGGATAATAGCCCCGGATCTACGTGTGGAGAAACAACTGGAGCAATTTAAATCACTACGTTCCTAAGCAGGAGCTTAAAGTCCTATTAATAAAAGGTGGAGACACTTGAAGATGGAAGTTTAACACAACTCTAAATATGAATGAGTTATTTGGCTCTTTCCCAATTAGTCCCCATGCGAGTTGTGGACGCCCGTGCTGACACCCCCGGGGTATGCAGCAGCGACCCGCGTTACCTGATTCGTCGACTCTCATTTTTTTGGTAGGACTGTCACAATTCTCATCGTCAGACATCTCCATCTCTTCCTCGCGCCGGATGCCCATGAGCTGCTCGCTTTGAGCGTTCCGGAGCTCCTGAAAGCAGAGGACAGGCTGCTGTCAGAGTCAAGGGCGCGCCTCAGCATGCCGTCCCCGCGGGTCTCTGCGTGTGGCACAACTGACCCAGCGATGCTGAGAGTCGCAAGTCTTGACCTCCCCAACACTGCCTCACCTAACCTGGAATGGCAAGGGGCAGAGCAAACGGCAGCGCCTTGGGTGTCAGACTTGGCATCAATCCCTGCTCGTCAACGACCAGGACGAAAATTTCCTTGTCTGTCTAAAAGGGGCTAATACCATCTACCCAGCAGGGCTATCTCAGGGACCACACAGCAAGGCCTATTACGTGGCAGCCCGGCGGGACCCGCAGTTAACTGGAATGAGCATGAGCATTGGACTTCTAAAGAGGTCTGGTCTGGCCTGCCACTGACCTGCTGTGCAATTGGAGAAATGCTCCGTGGGATACTGTGATAGTTTTGAGCGTGGAATGAGCGAATGCATGCAAGAGACTTAGCATCAAGCCTGACACTTGCTTTGCTAAAAGCTGGTGATGTCGGCTACTATTATTTGTCACATAAAGAGTGTCCCTGCATGTGTATGGGCTTGTGTGATCTCGATTTCTCTCTCCCGCTCTCTCCTCTCTCTCTTTCTCTATCTTCTTTCTCTCCTCTCTCTCTCACACACACATACACACACACACCCCAACACACACATACCATTCAGATGTCCAAAACTGAAAACTCAGAAGGTGATGGGTACTTTAGCCCATTTTAGACTGAGAGCCCCAGATCTTGGGACATCTCTTGCTTTCTCTACTTACTGGAGTGTGACTGCAATCAAGTCATTTTATTTCTCGGAGACTCTGTCTACTCATTCATGAATAGGGAATAATAATAACATTACAAGGCAATTAGAATGTAATAATGTATGCAAAAACTCACTGTAAAATTTAGAGTAACACAATAAATTTTTTACTGCTATGCCTCAAATCAGGACATCGTAATCATTTACACCAAATAACTATACCATTATTTTGTACCTAACTGTGTACGGGAAATGAGAGGTCTTCAAAGAGTTCGCAGAAAATGTGCATTATGAAAAATTATACATAGGATTTCAACATCTTTTTGCACCAAAATATATTCACCTTTTAATTTCATGAACTTTTTGAGGTCCTCTCATATTTGTGAATCCTTATGCATTCTTTTTTTTTTTTTTTTTTGACAGGCAGAGTGGACAGTGAGAGAGAGAGACAGAGAGAAAGGTCTTCCTTTGCCATTGGTTCACCCTCCAATGGCCGCCGCGGCCGGCGCACCACGCTGATCCGATGGCAGGAGCCAGGAGCCAGGTGCCTTTCCTGGTCTCCCATGGGGTGCAGGGCCCAAGCACCTGGGCCATCCTCCACTGCACTCCCTGGCCACAGCAGAGAGCTGGCCTGGAAGAGGGGCAACCGGGACAGAATCCGGCGCCCCGACCGGGACTAGAACCCGGTGTGCTGGCGCCGCTAGGCGGAGGATTAGCCTAGTGAGCCGCGGCGCTGGCCGTCCTTATGCATTCTATTCTTACATGTATTACTCCCTGAAAGAATTAAAACAAGGAGAAGGCTCTGTTTTCCCTTCTCCCCGTTTAACCTGAAGTGTCTACAGAAAAGCCATATTCTAATAAGCAAGCCTATGAGTAACAGGAAATCTAGGTTATGTCACATAACTTACTAGTGGATGACTTTAAATACAGCTCGACTGCCCATTCAGCAATGTGTGGGTATCAGCCTGTGCTAGTGGTTCTCAATTCTGTTCTCTCCTTTGCACACAGATTTCAACAGCAGCTTGACAGGAGCACACTATTCACAGCTGGCGGTATTGGATGGTCAGCACTGCACTGTGGGAGTCACCACTGCCTCGGACACAGAAGGGGTGAAATCTGGGGTGCAGGGCCAGGGCCACCAATCGCAGGGAAGCCCTGGAAGGCCACCTTATTTGACGGTGCCACCTGGCAGAAAGAGGGGCCATTTCTGCCCTAAATAATGCCCTCAGGCCTCGGAGGCAGGTGCCACACACGATTAGTGGGGAAATTTTTAGGTTGTGGACAGCTAATTCGTCCACTGACAAAGAGCCCAGTTCCCATAGGGGTGGCTTAGAAATATCTGGAACAAGAAAAAGTCAGGTGGAGAGAATAAATGAGGCCGAAAGGGTCTGTTGTTTAGTCCCTGCAATTAATGACAAACTGCCATACTGTAGTTGCTGTGGGGGAAGGGCGCAGGGGAGGGGGAAGGAGGGTGCTCGCACAGCGTGCCTCGAGTTCAGCAGTAAATCACTGGTACACTCTAATACATCTGTAGAGGTGTTGCAGGTAATTAGCGGATGCGGTACATGGGAATGCAGTAAAAAAAAAATCAAGCCAATTATCAAGCTTATATGCAACTGAGAAATCATCCACAATGTTAAATTACCAGCTGGTATTTAATCAATTAGGTAACATGTAGGAGAGAAAATCAAAGGTAATTTAGAATTCTATTTCCTAATGTATATCAAAAGAGGTGTTGGAAGTGGCGGTTCGAAGGCACAGAGACCCTTTCCAGGAGCGCCTTTGAGGCGTGCACACCTTCCATCCTGCTAGAGCATCCACTGCCGCCTCCTGGTGCCAAGCCAAGCAAGCAGGCAACCTGGGAGCACACTGCCAGCCTTCACGGGGCCTGCTCCGCGCAGCACAGCCAAGGCATTGCAGGAAGTGGAGTCACGTGGGGCAGCGCTCGTGACTTAGGTCGACATTTACAAAGTGACAATGGCCTTGTTGTGCCCAGGTTTGCTCAGTATCATGCCACCTGCCTTTCTCTGGACATTTCTCTTAACCACGTTTGGTTTTTATGTGAAAAGTAGAAAGTAAACAACTCATGGACTGATCAGCCCCCAAATGCGATCACAGTTCATCGATGCCAGTTTCTGTTTTCATAGCCCTCAATGTGTGCATCATGTCGCAGATGAAGGTGTTTATTACTTTTTATTTATTTATTTTCTTCTCCTGAAAAGTGACTTAGCCTTGGGTCTCGATTCAGTGGCAGACAGAATACCAGGAGAACACTCTTCGTTTTTCTGATCCTTGAAAAATTAAAGAGAGACCCCACCCCTCCTTACTCATAATCCTGAACAGAGGAGGAGAATTATATCAGTCACCAACCACCTTCTCAGGCGTTAGTGAACAAAATAAAAAATGCCCTTCTTAACAATAAATTGCACTAGCATTTTAAGTGTCCCATTATTGTGAAGTCATTCAGTATGCACCATAATAACAGTGATAATAAGGAATTCATTTGGTATTCATGTGGATGTTACATCTAGTGCCATTGGTATTCTACTGTAATTTAGCATTAGTTAATGGGCACTTAAAATGTCACCCAAATGATTGATATCACAGTACTTTGTGGTTCCTCAAACTCAATATAAAACACTTATTTTACAAGTGTGAGTCAAAATCATTAAATAAATAAACCTTACCTTCTATAAGTTTGGGATTTTGAAAGAGGGGAATATCATTAGAGAACTTTAATATTAACATGCTGCAGATGGAGAGGCATCCAAATGAAAAACATTCTCTCATTGAAAAAAAAAAAGAAGCAAACAAAGACAGTATACTTACTTTTAAATTACAGGTTCAAAGCGTACACTACACTGTAGAGCTAAAAATAACAGCTGGATGACCATGACTAATGGCACTTTTTTGGCGTTTCTAGGTGGCAAATGAAGGTCAAGTTCTGTACTGTTTCCTTGGGGGTAGATACTCACACTTCACACATGCATTGAGGCATTTGTTCTGGGCAGAGGGAGTGACAGGACGCAATGGCTAGTACATGGGTAAAACATTGCTATAATGAGAAGACTTGGATGGAAAGGCATACTTGCCATTTCTAGCCCAAAGAGTAAACCATCATCAGCACATAGAACACTGAAAAATAATCTGTACTTAAAAACTACTTTTCTATATTAAAATAATAAATGCTTTATTAGGCAAAGTGTCTTTGTTTATTTCCAAGCTCTTTACCATCAACAAAAGAGATTCTTCTCTCCCTGTGCAGAGAGAGAAAAATGCTCTCTCCTTTAAGTATTAAGTCAGCTGCTTTTCTGCACAAGGGATAAATCTGAGTTGGAGCTGACAACGAGACAGAACAATGGCAAGAAGACTGCCCCTTGTAACAAAAACCATAATGGCTGCAGCCACACTACTCCCTGCCAATCCAGCTGTGTGATGGTGGTTAAAAAATAATCATAAAATCACCAACCTCAGAATGCTTTCGCCAAATGTCTATGTTCTTGCGCTGAGCTTTCGAGAAATGGTCCCAAGCTTTTTGTCTGGTAGAAGCGTTGAAAACGGCCACAATCTGCTCAACTTTGGTGAACAAGGAAGTCAAACAAGACAAGTAATTTATGTTGTGATCACCATAGGGAAGCAAAGCAAAGACACTAGGAGTCTATGGATGATGTTGCAATAGAAACAACATCATCAATATCCATCCCTTTTGTGCCTTTTTGTACTTACATTTTAGCAAGGTTGGGGATGTCTCCCTTCAAGTCTGTCTCCATAACTTTAGGTTAAACCAAACTCTAAATACGACTGAGAAAAGCTCATGGGCATCTACTTCCAAGCATCCTTCAGCTCTTGTTTTAAAATGTGATTTGATATATCTATGTACCTAGATCTACAGAAATATAGACAGCAGTGTGGGCATATGGAGATAGACACATACATAAATAGCAGTTCCTGGGTTGGGTACGTAGAAGTGAAGCCGGGGTGCAGTGGCTAAGTGGGGAAGAGCCAACCATGTATCTTTTCCTCTTTTGGTCTCCATCTCAAGGACTTAATGGCAGCCCTCAGAAGACGTTACCTTGTCCGCGTCCCAAGCTAGGGCAATGAACAGTTGTTATCATATCTCCCCTCAACCTCAGGGGCCAGTTTTCATCTGTGGCTCCTTTCTTTGATTCTCTGTTGCACAGACTGCAACCAGCTCTGCAGCCTGCTGGCAGGAAATAGGAGCCACCACATCCAAGTCCGAGCAGACCCAGGCTCACGTCAGCAGTCCTGGCATGCAGGTCTGATTTTAACACCATTGGGCACCATCTATAGTTCATCACAATCACTTGCACTCATGGTTATTCCAATATATCCTTCAGTAAGCACCCCTCCCGCTGTTTTTCAAACCACTTAAAGTTCTGACTCTACCACCTTGATTTCATTTAGCACTTCTGTTGCTTCTAAGCATGGTGCTACTGGAATGATCAATTTGATGGTTATGAACAAAACTGCATAGAAAAAGGCATGGGCTCTTAGTAATACATGTTAGGGGTCGAGTCAAGCAAGCCAATATTGCTTCAACAGTTATTGAGCTAGTAACTATGGGATTAAGAAAATTGGAGCACTGACTTAATCATATAATTAAGTTTGGACTTCTAAATATTTAGAAAGGCACAACTGAAATTAGCTTCTCATAAATACTAACCCCCATCAATATAAATCTTTCATGATTCCCAAGGCTCTATTATGAAAAGGACATCAAAGCTCCCCTAAAACTTTTGGTGTCCAAAGGATGGCAGAGAGTAACAGAGTCATCCCCATAGAAGACGAATACTTTGGTGACACAGTTTTAAAAGTCAGCACACAAAGTAAACAAGCGGATGATGGAGCAGAGGACACAAGGCAGATTCTCTCCACTTGCAGTACCGTGAATGTCTCACCACGCTAATAGGCAACTACGTCTCAAGCTACTGGTAATTTTCCTAGGAGGCTTTTATGTTGACTGTTTTCCACCTCAGGGGAGCCCAACTCCAACTGTCTTTATTTAGCAAACGTTGTCATTATTTCACAGGAATTTGTTTCACCCAATTTGGATGGGAGGATTTTCCATTCGCCTGAGTCACACTCTCTCTGACTGCATGTGGCTTCTTCCCTCCGCATCCTCACCTGGAGGAAGTGGGACTTCCAGACTTGTCACCTCGAGATGCTCCCAATGCTGAACTTCGCCCGACCCGCAGCCCCCAGCGCAGAGCACAGCTGGTGGAGGACAAAACCTGTTCAGCTCGACCTCATGGGCTTTCTGCTTGTTTTGTCTGTGCACTGGCTGGGATCATGGAGGATTTCAACTGCTCTTTGCAGGGGCAGCACAGAAACAACCCTAAATCCACTGTCAGATGAGATTATCTGGCAAGGTGGTGGTCATGAGATTATGAAAGAGTAATAGATTCCACTGCCTTTAATAGCAGAGCTATTTAAAAAAAAACACAAATATTTTATTTAATTGAAAGACAAAGAGAGAGAAATATTGATTTTCTATCTGTTTGTTTACTCCTCTAATAGCCACAAAAGCCAGAGATGGACTAGGCTGAAGCTAGGAGCTAGGAAACCAATCCTGGGTTTCCCAGGCGGTTGGGATGGACCCGATTATTTGAGTTATCAGCTGCTGGCTCCTCAGGCTCCACACTGTCAGGAAGTTAGAACTGGGAGTGCAGCTAGGACTCAAACCCAGGCACTCTGATATGGGATGTGAGAGTCACAGCCAGCGTCTTAACTGCTGTGCCGAATGCCCAGCCCAGCAGAGCTCTTTGATTGGCATCACTGGGAAGAGGAAGAGAAAGGGTGTCTTGATACCAGGACTGAGGGGTTGGAGGCTGGTCGTCAACATTCTGCATTCTGCCAGGAGAAGCTATTAATAAAGACACACTAAAGAGAAAATCATGTGTTTATAAAACGATTGTATAAAGGTAAGAGACTAGGAAGGCACACGGAGGAGGACAGAAGGGCAGACAGTTAGACACCCAATACCCAATGGCCTAATACTGCACCAGTTTAAGGGTAAAACCAGATCCTCTAACCTCTGTTCAAACCATATGTATATTGCAGAGATTATCTGATTGAGGGAAGTGCCTCCTGTGACTAACACATTCCAGGGCATGAGTTCAATTCATCCCTCACTAATTCAACAAACATCTGGGGTCCTATCAGGTACCAGATGCTTGAGTGATTGCTAGAAATATATGATTCAGGCATATTCCTCACCCTTGACGAGATCACAGTCTCTGGGGGAGAAAGAAAGGCGAGCAGATAAGTAACCTATGGATGACTGCTCTAGGGACCCAGAAAACAGAATAACTAAGTGGCTGGGTGGAAACCAGGGAACATCCCCCAAAGAAGGCCACATTTCTGCCAGGTCACACCTGCTGATGCAATGCTTGCTCAGCAGAGAAGGCACCAGCCACTTACTCAAAGGTTGGCAGGGAGTGGCAAAAGGACCACAGGAAAGTAGCAGGTGGGGTGGGGGTGGGGGTGGGGTCAATGTTGGCTGAGAACAAATCAGGGAGAACTGTGTATGCTAATACAGACTGTGAACTTGATTCCACGGGTCCAGGAGGCATGCATTTTGAGTCGGATTTGCTTGGAAAAAATGATGTTAGCTTGAATTAAGGCAGAGGCTAAGGAGTGGAAGGTGAGACAAGTTACCATTGGACAGGGAGAGGGGATAGCACAAGGCATTGCTACCTGGAAAGAGGAGACAAAAGAGACCTGCAGGACTGGAGCTGGGGCAGCATTCAGACAGCAAGAGAATTAGCAGAGGGAGTTCTGAGAAAGAAGACAGGGAATTTGCTTTTGGACTTGCTGAGTTTGAGAATGCCGGCAACCCATCTGGATGGAACTGAAATATGGGCTGGGAGTTCTGAAATAAGTCAGAATGCATAGATGTTGGAAATTTCCTGGGCTATCTCCACTTCTTGTGATTGTACGCGTATTCTTTCCAGTGACATAAGCAATACTGAATGCAGTTTTCTTACAAACTTTTATACTTTTCCCTGACATATTTGCAAATCTAACAGGTTTGAAAATACTCTTGGAGTACTGACATGGCCAGGTATGCTTCTCCCATTTCTGCAGACTGCCCCGGAGCCAGCCACTTGTCTTGCAAATGTAAGTTCTTGGGCATATGAAGGGACTCTGAAAGAGTGCTTAGATCAGCGGGAATTCAGCATCACTGGGGGGAACCCCCTCAAAGACTATCCCCAATGAATGTGATTCAGAGACAACATATTTTAAAGATCATGAATCAGGAAGACTGCTAGTACTGATGTCACCAGTGTGGACCCTACACTGTGTGTTGTCTATGGCATGGAACACCAAAGAGAATTAGGATGCCACGTGCGACTTCTCTAGTGTAAGTTATACTACCTGCTCTATGCACAATCAAGCAACAAGTAGTTACTAACTAAACTACAAGTGGTATCATCAAAGCTCTACTTCTCAGAGAAAGAGAAAAATAGCAAACAAGATGCACCAGCACCTGTCCAGAGAAAGCAGCTTTCACATAAGCTATGCTGCAAGCAGAAAAAAAAATATCAGCTCAGCCCCTGCCCTAGGACATTCATCACCTTAGTGGTCTTTAGAATGGCAGCTGAAGGCCTCACCGGGTTCTGTGTCAGGTAAAAAGCATCAGTACTGTTCTATGATGGCTACTTATTTATTTAAGAAAGATCACTCCAAAGTTTTGAACATATCAACAGAAAGAGCTCTCTATACCTAGCAGGTCTGTTCCCCAAAGTTCGGTTTTGAGTGTTTGTCCTGAAGTAGATAATTTGAGGATCGCAAGAAAATAAACATGGTGAATTCTTCAAAAGCATACATGAATACCAGTTTTAGATGGCATAAAGAGCCCCACCCCCCACCCCCGCACGCCCAGTGGGAGTGAATAAACATAACCGACTCATGGAGACTTGCTGACACCACTAAGCACTCTGTGTAGCTGCAGAGCCCCGCCAGGAACTGCTCATGAGCTCACACATGAGCATGTGTGGACATACATAAGCCCACAGAACATGCATGTGTATGCACATATGTGTGTACATGCTTCACATATTTAAAAAATCATAAAACTGAGTAATTCAACCTTTGCACTTCCCCCCCTCGACATTTGGGCATTCGCTGAATTAAAGCACACTTCTTCATTGACAGGGAACTTCATGAAGTACCTTGAGAAGTACTTGTCCTTGTTCTTAGCAAAGCCCATGGGGACAGACCATGCTTAGACAAGCACCCTGGAGAAAGCAGGCCTCCCAGCGTGAAATCTCAGCGTTCTGGGCTGCACCTGCTGCTCCACCCCGAGCTCTGAGCAGACAAGCTTTGGAAGTGATGGGAATGGAAGGTTAGGCTCCTTCAGAGACTACCAACACAGCCCTCTCTCCTTCACTGCATTCTTTCTCCCCATCCCTGTACCTCCCTCATCACTGTGCCAAAGTTAAACAGCTAGCTGTAAAAGATCCCTAAACCTATTGAGTATCCCAAATATCTAAAGAAACAGATTAACTTCTTACAGGCAGTAGGATGCCTAAAGAAAGCACCTCAAACAAATC